ACATGGTGGTCCTGAGAGCGAGACAGCACAGAGGTGCCTTGATGAGGAGTTGCAGCGGCTTCCACATCACTCACGCGTACCTGCCCGCTGCCGCCCATCTGCGGGTGCGGCTCCCGTTGGGACAGCAGGACCGATGCCTAGACCACCAGACAGACAAAACGAGACACATACACACACTTGTTCGCCCATTTTGCAATGATGTCTTCTTGTATTGGCCGCCGTACCGATGTGACGTCAGTCCCTCGAGGGACCGCTGTATCACCTGAAGGACACCTCACCTGCGGCTGGTGGAACAGACAGTACAGAGGTGTTTACATGGCGTGCTTCAGTGCCTTTTCACATCACCCACACGTACCTTTCCGTTGCCCTCTGTCTGTGGGTGCAGCTGCCTGTCGTCCGGGATGGCTAAATGGGGAGCTGCTGTGTCGACCGCATTTGGGTGGTGTACTTGACGCGGCACGTGCCCATTGAGCCAGTCAAGGAACGCTTGACTGCTTTCTGCAGATACACACACACACACACACACACAGAGAGAGAGAGAGAGAGAGTGGTCGCCGGTCTGCCACTGTGTGTGCGTGTGCTGACCGCCTGGCACGTAGAAGATCTTGACGTAATGGCCGTCGGCAATCGCCACCGCCTCTGCGATGATGTCGCCAGGCCACTTGTCGGCTTCATCGAGGATCCGCTTCACGTCTTCGTCTCGCTGCACCTTCAAGTTACTGACTCTCAGGACTGTCAGACAGGCAGACAGACAGACATACAGACGAAGGCATCAATCAGTACCATGTACGTGTGCAGACTGCACTGCTGTCCTCAATACTCACCCGTTGACCCAAGAAGCTTCCCAGCTGCCGAGAGATCGAACAGCTGCCCAGTCGTCCGAGGAGCACTCTGATCAGACTCATACACGCGTGCAATGGGCATTGCCCGCCTGACTGCCTAGCACTGCACTCGTCAAGCACCCACCTCGTGCAAGACTGGATGCAGGTGAGGAGGAACACCCCCACCAGCAGAGGCATGACGCACATGAGAGGAGTCTGACACACACACGAAGGGGAGCACTTTAAAAGGCATCCGAGCCCATCTCTGCGCCCACCGTCCACACCAGGAAGTCCATAGGCGTTTGGCAGTCCACCTGAGGGCGCACAGCGACACACAGTGACCACCCACACTTTCACGGGATCGCTCGATTCGCAGACTCGCGTGAGTCACCTGGCATCTGTGAGTTGTGTCCCCCCCAGTGTCCGCCGCCGCCATAGGCGTTGCCGGCAGAGCTGCTGGGTGCCTGAGTCACGAGCCACAGACAAACCGAGAGAAGCGGTTCAGACAGCCCATCGTCACACTGTGGTGCGTCGGCATCACCGATTTCTGGCTGAATGGCTTCCCCCCCAACGTGTGTCACACTCACCCGGTCCGCCATGGCTGCGGAAAGCCTACAAAAGCGATGGGAAGAAGGACAACCACCGTCGGAGGACCCCCACCGCTTCCGCGAAGGTGAGGATCTCTCAAATCTCTGCTGGCGAGGGCTTCCGAGGGTCCTCGGTGGTAGTTTTTCCTATCCAGAGATCCCAGAAGGTCCATTTTGAAACACCTGTGTTACCTGACAGCTCCGATCGTCCTCAACCAAACATCACTGAAGAGGGCCTCTGGCCCTTCCCTGATTGTCCCTGCATCACACAGAAACCCAAAGAAGGGACAGAATGAACGAATAACATTCTTCAGAGAGATCCGCAGCTGCGGTTTCTGGGAAATTCAGAGCTCTAACACAAACGGCCTGCGAGCTTTTGGAGCAAAAGAGGAGATTGAAGGAGGACAACAGCAATATGAAACAGACACGGTGAGCACAACAGAGGGTCGAATCACT